CACTAGTACAAGGCCCAGTCGTGCGTACTACGCCGCCGCTGCTTTCTCAGCCCAGCAAGGGTCAGCAACACCATCGCCCAGATACTTGGTCCGGTAGTCAGCTTGATCGATAAAGCTGCCATACGGGAGCTGAGCCCCTGGGTCGGTCGTGCCAGCTGTGCTCTCATCAAAAGATTCGCACTCTCGACTAAGCCAAAGTACCTTCCTTGGCCGTTGTCTTTATTTGTTGTGCGCAAATGACCGCCCTTGGGTGCCATTGGTCATTGGCCCGTCGCCAGTGATCATCGCCGGGGTCCAGTTGACTCCGGTCGGCTCGGCCGGTCAGATTGCCTGCAATTTGGGCCTATCTGGTTGCACAGTTGCTCGTCAAGAACGTCGGCCTGGATATGTGCTACAATCGACTCCCTCCTCCCAGCAGAACGAGGTTCTCGGAGGTCGCCAGGAAAAGCAAATACGTGGAAGCCCAAAAGAGAACATCTGCGCAGGTCTGGCGCCTTAGCACCAAGACATGTGCACACCAGCCCCCGCTCCCACACCCGAGTGGCTGACAGGGGCACGGGGTTCAAAGAAACACGGTGCTGGCAGCGAACATGAGGAGGGAAACGAACAAGACATTGGACCGCGCGATGCTGGCAGATGTCCTCCCCCAGGACCGCCGCCCACAAGGCATATGCGAACTGAAGCTGCCTGTAACCAGCTTGTTAGAGGCGGCTGCGCGGGGATCATCTGGTCGTCGCAGTTCGTCGCCGTAGGCACTGGCAGATCTGCTGGTACCTGCATTGCGACGAGCGTCCGACTGTGAGACGATGTCTCTCCACTGACAGGCGACCATTTGGAAGAGGCAGGCGAAACGGCTTCAAGCAAGGCCAACGCAACACAACGCAGACCAACCCACCCTCTTGTTTCCCCAGCCGTTGTCTTCCGCTGGGGGATCCCTTGCGTGGACCTCCTCTCAAGTTCCTTCAGGTCGCCCCTTTTTTTCCCTTTGCCTGCACTCATCTTGGGAACAGATGCAGACGGTGCCGTTGAGCGCTTTGGAGGTCTCTGTGCCATCTGCAGGCATGTACTAAGTAGTAGGGCCTTTCACAGTGAGATACACACAAAAGACGGACGAAAGCAGCAGTTGGACAATTTAGGTTTACGCCTTCGTCCCGCTTGAACGGCACGGGCGAGGGTCATGCAGCTAACGCACTCGAGCGTATTTATCTTGTCCCACGACTCACTCTCAAGGTCGAAACGGCTGCTCCAGCCTAGGACCTTGAAGGCTTCTGAAGCCTACGGGCAGTAAGCCAACAATCCACTTCCCCTCCATGATCTGCGCGCCCTTTCAAAGTTTCGAACTGCCAGTGCGGGAGCTAGCTTCGCACGGGAAGAAGTTGATACGGCAAGGCATGAAGATAATGAAGAAGATGGAAGAGAACAGTACAACAAGAAAAGACCGAATGACCTGTTGTCTGTAGTCCGCAATCACCTGGCCTCATTGGGGTGCATCATGGCGTGAGTTTGGGCTTTGTCATACCGGTAAACAACGATTCGCAAGGCATGGCGTCATGAAATGAGACCCGTATCTGATGTCGACGGTACCGCGAGGCGAAATCGAGATGCGGATGGGCTAGTTCTCGCCTCCTCAGCCAGCCGCGCACGCCGGTCTGGAGGGCTGTCTTCAGAGCTCTTGGGGTGTGATGAACCTGAAGACTTGAACAAAGAGGATCGCGGTACAGACGGCAGCTCTTTTGATACAGTCAACGACGTCTGATCGTCGCACTCAAATCGACGACCCGGGTAACCAGGGGGGCCAGACCCCCCATGGTGGTGGGTCAGGGCCACTCCAGGTTCCATGTCCAGTTTTCCCTCCTCGTCGCCCTGATGTGAGTGAGCTTCAACGACGGGCTTTCTCATTCTCAACGACAAACCGCATGGCTGAGTGAGGAGAGCTTGCGCGTATCATATACACCTTCAAGCTCACTAACAAGACAGCTAAATCGAAGACGCATTGCTTCATATCAAAAACGTCGAGGCAACTTTTTTGACAAGGTACATGGAGGAACAGGGCATCATGCCCCCTGAGGATCACACTGGAAGGTGACGGAAGCGTCTGCGTGTCGCTGGGACGGTGCCCATCCGCGAACAAGGCCAGACCCTGGACGGGTGGCTCGAGAAACGGCAATGATTGGCTCGAATCTCGGTAGGCGGCACTGGGCTGTCTTCGTCTCATTTTGTCGGTCTCTCCCTCTCTCTCTCTTTTCGCCATGTATTTTCTGCCCAGCCCCGAAAAGACGGTGGCTTTTGCTGACCCTTACCGGCCGCCATCAAGCCATTGTGTGGCCACGTTCAATTCAGGTCGAGCCGAAGTCCACGACGATATTGGGGCCCGGTTTGACAGCAAACCGCAAACGGTCACGGACTGATGTGTTGGCTGAAATGGAAAGAAGGGGACGACCGCGATGGGTGTCGGAGGACTGTCGTTCGAAGATCTTGCATCTCGCATAATGCAGGTTTTTTCTTTACGGATTTCATGGCGGACGAGTTGTCATGGGGGTTGGTTATGCGGGAAGGAATTTCACTCTGTGAGAGGGGGACCTGCTGGCTGTCTTCTGGAAGGCATAAGGAATGGGCGAGGGAAGCTCAAGCGCGGCTCTCATTCCCCCCACATCCAGCCCGATGGCAACTCGTGTTCAGCCTCCTTCTGGCTTGCGATGGATATAGCACTGCGAGTGGTTCAACCTCGTGACCACCAAGACTCGTTCGGAAGACGATATTGCGTTCTAGGCCTGATGATGGGATTCTCCATCCGACGCCGCAGGAATCGCGAGAGTCTGAGGGTTCTCGATTACAGCGAGGTATTGTGTGTGCAAGAACCCGGTATATGCACAGTGGGAAGAGCAAGAAGAAGGGCGGCTTGTCAAATGGGGTCGCGGCAGCCATGGAGTCCCCCTGCTCACTAGTTTTGTCGTGGACAGGGGTGGGTGGGCAGCAAGCGGCGGACCGCGGTCGAGGGAAAGGACGTGCTGGCGCTGGTGAGGCGCTGATCGACGACGGACGAGGCTCCCGGGCAAGAGGGACGCGGCCAACTGACGGCCCTGTAGCTCTTAGCCCGCAGCCCGTAGCCGCGGGCGAACTGTGTTTGGTGCTGGGTTGACGGGAAGATCTTTGTCTCTGCAGCGTCGTCGATATATGAAGGCTCGCGTGAGGATGGGTTCAATGGAGGTTTTCCTTTGGGCGAGGGGAGCGAGGTTGGCAGGGGGGCTTGTGGAGAGAGAGATGTTTCCCAGCTGGCCTGTCGGTCTGAACCTTTGGGGGCGAGAGTTCCATCAGAACCGCTGTCGGCTGCCACCATCAAAGGTATCTTACAGACAGAGATCTCTGTTCCCCCTTTGGCGAGATGAGATTGGGCGACCCTTTGGGGGAACCGGCGACGACGAACGAGCGCTGTTCATGGTGCCCGTCGCTGTGCTGCGCTGCTTGCTGCTTGGCTCTTGGGGTGGGGAGTGCACAGACAAGCAGCTGCAGGGCATCCCCAAAGGGGGGAGACGTCTCTTGGGGTCACGCCAATGAGCTTGGCTCCCCCGACGGGTACGGAGCTGTGGTGCTGTCTGCTGCGTGGGAAATGGGGGGAGGGAGGGCAGACGAGAGTTTCACCATGTACTATGTTGTCGTGTACATCTGACATTTACAGCAAGCGCATCCATAGCAGTTTGTTGTCTTTGGTGGTATATCTTGCCACCAAGACAGGTTTCCGGATACACTCTCGTCCAAGGCGAGAAGAAGGACGAGGAAGAAAGAGGAACAGGGCAAGGGGCGTTGACAAGTGTTGATGGATGCTGGTGCTGCTGCTGCCCTCTGTCTCTGGTGTAGGGTGCGGGCCAGTTTGGCTGGCGTCTGTAAGTGGGTGTCGTCAAGGAATCCCCTGGGATCTGCAGAACATGGGAGGAGGGGGGTCATTCCGTATCTGTCGTGCTGCAACGCCAGGATGACAAGGGTGTTGGTCGACTTTGCCGCCACGGATGTTGAGAGGTGTGGTGCTTGTTCTCTGTGGGACGGGGGTTTTACCAGGGTCCATTCACATCAATTGAGGAGGATGAGAGAGGGCCCACGAGGGAGGAGGCTTCAGGAGCCGAGGAGGGCGAGACGTGACGGAGAGAGAGAGAGAGAGAGAGAGTTGTTTGCACGAGTTGTTGGCGATGTGAGTCGTCGGTCGAACAAGTAGAAGAAGAGTGTGGTCTTCTTTCGTGGCCTTGCCATGCTGGTCCGTCACCCACCTAGTGGCGATCGATGCTGACCGTCTGCCCAAAAGTCACGGCTACTTACTCGAGGTCCCCTACGTGACCTTGCCTGGCCTTGCGCTCCCGACTACGACTAGTTGTGCCATGGATGCGCATGCTGCCTTACCTTAAGGCGTCTTAGCTCAGCTTCATCGAGTACCGATACGCCTTGGAGGCGCTGAGGGAGGGCACCCACGACTCGCGGGTACGTATCTTTCTTGGAGAAAGAGAAAGAAGAGAGAGAGAGAGGCAGAGAGGACGGTGATTCTTTGGTGCCCCAGCCAGCCCAGCCCAGCCCAAAACCCCCAATCCCAAGTCTCCAAGTCCCCAATCCCCAAGCAAAGCCAAAGCCGGTGCACGCGCTCCACCTCGTTCCTTTTCGGCAGGTGAAGGAGACAATCCCAGCTTCGGCGCGGATCAACGTCGGGTTGCCTTTGACGACATGCGATAGCGATAGTCGACGAGCTTCCCCTCGTGACCAGATAGCTCCCAGATCCCCGACTTGCAAAGAAAACGAAAAGAGCAGACGACGAGGCAGACCAGCAGCGTTCCGTCTCTGCAATCGATCCGTGTTTCCCTTGTCCTGCCAAACCCTAAATGCTCCCGGTTACATCTTATTTGTGCCGAAGCATTCCCAGACCGAACACCGCCAACCCCACCATCGCCATCGCCATCGCCAGAATCACCGTGCTGCGACCCCTCCAACCACGAACCCGTTTCTCGACCACCTCCCGCACAATGGCTCCTCCCCAAGCTGCCCTCGACTTTGTCGACTTTGTCAACGCCTCTCCCACTCGTAAGAATTGCATCCCACCCCACAGACAGCCGCAGCTCACACTCCCCGCCTCCAGCCTACCACGCCTGCGCGACCGCTTCGAAACTCCTCGAGAAGGCCGGCTTCACAAAGATCAAGGAGCGCGATTCCTGGAACTCGACCCTCCGTCCCGGCGGCAAATACTACCTCACCCGCAATGGCTCCTCCATCGTCGCCTTCGCCATCGGCAAGAAGTGGAAGCCCGGCAACCCCGTCGCCATGATTGGCGCCCACACCGACTCGCCCTGCCTGCGCATCAAGCCCGTCTCCAAGAAGAACAACGTCGGTTTCCTGCAGGTCGGCGTCGAGACCTACGGAGGCGGCATCTGGCACAGCTGGTTCGACCGCGACCTCTCCATCGCCGGCCGCGTGCTTGTCAAGGACGGCGAGGGCAACTTCGTCCAGAAGCTGATCAAGGTCGACAAGCCCCTGCTGCGCATCCCCACGCTGGCCATCCACCTCGATCGCAGCTCCAACTTCGACCCCAACAAGGAGAGCGAGCTGTTCCCCATCGCCGGCTTGGCGACCGCGGAGCTGAACAAGGGCGCCGCCAAGCCCGAGGACACGGACGACTCCCAGGAGGACTTCAAGCCCCTCAAGGCCATGACGGAACGCCACCACCCGCACATCCTGGACGTCATCGCCGCCCACGCCGAGGTCGAGCCCGAGGCCGTCGTCGACTTTGAGCTCGTCCTCTACGACATCCAAAAGTCCTGCCTGGGCGGCCTGAACGACGAGTTCATCTTCTCCGCCCGCCTGGACAACCTCAACATGACGTACTGCTCCGTCGAGGGGCTCATCGCCTCCGTCAAGGACGCAAACGTCCTCGACAACGACACCACCATCCGCCTGGTGACGTGCTTCGACCACGAGGAGATCGGCTCCACCTCCGCCCACGGCGCCAACTCGAACCTCCTGCCCGCCGTCCTGCGCCGCCTCGCCTCCCTGCCCGGCAGCCGCGACACCGCCTCGGACGGCTCGTACGTCGCCGTCTCCTCCCACGACGGCGGCGACTACGAGTCCACCGCCTACGAGCAGACCCTCTCCCGCTCCTTCCTCGTCTCCGCCGACATGGCCCACTCCGTCCACCCCAACTACGCCGGCAAGTACGAGTCCTCCCACCAGCCCGCCATGAACGGCGGCACCGTCATCAAGGTCAACGCCAACCAGCGCTACGCGACAAACTCCCCGGGCATCGTCCTGCTGCAGGAGTGCGCGCGCCTCGCCGGCGTCCCGCTGCAGCTCTTCGTCGTCCGCAACGACTCGCCCTGCGGCAGCACCATCGGCCCCATGCTGAGCGCCAAGCTCGGCGTCCGCACGCTCGACCTGGGCAACCCGCAGCTCAGCATGCACTCCATCCGCGAGACGGGCGGCAGCGCCGACGTCGAGCACGCTATTAAGCTGTTTGAGAGCTTTTACGAGCGGTTCGGAGAGCTGGAGGAGAAGATTCTCGTGGATTAGGTTTGCTGGTGTGCTGATGTGTAAGAATTTAGTGGCGTTGCGGCGGCGTGGTGTTGGTTGTGAGAATACAAGTTTATTTTGAACATTTGAATGTGCTTTGGTCGTCTGACTTTGATGTGAAGATGACCCCGGAGATGTGCTCGATGTTGGCGATTACATTTCGTCCTGCCAATTACGTCGCTTTTTATGAATTTGTGATGGCGACCTTTTCATCTGGACATTATTGATGAATATGATTTGAACAACTCCCCTGAATTAGGTCTCCAGATCGGAAACGACAGCTTCACCTCCTTTTGCTCCTGCCTCCATCAGCTTTCATCTCATCTCTGCTCTGCTCACGTCTATTTAAATCGCTTCTTTTCAGACGATCAGCTACAACTCTTCCGACTACACGTCGGAAACAGAGGTGGAGGCATCTTCACTTCTACAATATTTGCTGAAATCTGCAGACCAAGTCTCACTTAACTCAACAATACTTCAGAGAGTCACGACGGCTTCACTTCCTTTAGCTCTTCCCTCTGTCAACTTTCATCCCACCTCTTCAATCCTCACGTCTACTTAAATCAGCCCCGTCTCGAGGCTTGAGCGACCATTCTTCTGACTACACATTTAACTCATACACAGGGGTGGAGGCGTCTTCACTTCACAACACGAGTATATCAGCACCCTTTCATTCTAATCTCTCCTCATCAAGTCGAGGTCAAAGTCTTAACTCAAATTTGAACGTCCAAATTTGACTTTGCTCGACGATTTTCACCACCAAGCCCCCGCTTCACTCAGTGGTAAGTCATCCTTCGATCCAACCTGCAAATGCGATTGCTCTTGCCCCCCCTGAGATAATTCATATTCCCATCTGAAACTACATACATACTGAACTTCTTTCCGATATCTCAGACGTCTATTTCACTAAACTAATCTGGGAGCTTAGGTTTCATCTCAGCGCCTACGGCTGCACTCAAAGAACATCACCAACATTCAACAATCTCAACACCCCTGGCTGATCAATCCGTTCTATATTTTACTTGGCTGGCAACTTTTCGACTCATTTTACCGAACTCTCCTCACTTTCTTCTCAAAGTAATCAATCAGGTGGTGTTTAGACCTGAGAGTCCCGCCAGGCACCGAAAAGAGCAGGCACGACGCGACTTTTCAACAGCGCCTTCCCTTCTTGTTCTCAGCGACGACTGAGCCCCCATTTAAGTCTGACCCCGCCTGAGGCTTTTCTTCAAACTTCAACTCAAGCCTCGACATCAACTCGGACCTCTCACATTGCCGATTTGGGAGCCACGTTCGACAGATATCACGTCGAGGCTTCACCAGAGCAACTCCGACTCTGCGACATCATTTCGAATCCGAGATACTTCAGGTCGAACGTTTCGTCACTGCTCATTCTGAGCCCAAATCTCGAGATCTCCATATCGACAACAAGATTCACGCGTCAGAGAGCAGAGCCGCAGCTTCCGAGAACGGCCCAGGGGAACCAAAGCTCGTCCCACTCGACTTACCATCTCGTCTCCTGCAAATCGTGTTCTTGCCCACCGCGTCCGAAAACCTACCCTGACCATCTCAACAGCCACCAGGACCAGGTTTTCTGATCGAACAGGTTCTGACACCGCAATTCTCTTTTCGGGAAGAAAGATGGTCGAGCAGATCATCTAAACTATCACTGAATTCATCGGAACGTCGATCATCCACCAGAGCTTCATCTATTGCAACATCTCAACATCTCAACTTCCTTACTTGCGCACCTTTCTTCACCATATATCTGCAACATAACCAGATTCTCACCATTACCGGTATGTTCCAGCCTTTGTCCCAAACTCCTCTTGGTCAAAGAACTAACACTTCTTCACAGCCACAAGAACCGCCAAGATGTGCCAGAGCGGTTATTACTACTACAAGTGCACCCACCACGAGGTCGTCAGCTTCCCCTGTGACAAGAACCGTTGCCGTCACCTCCTTGAGCCGTTCCACACCTACCTCCACGACCAGCTCTGCCACGACTGCGCCGAGCTTGGTCGCCAGAAACGACAGGAGCGCTGCCGCCGCGAGAGCTGCCTTGACCAGCAGCCCCCGTCCCGCCCCGCGTCCCAGATGCAGATGCATGGCCAGCAGCAGAGCACCCAGGGACAGGGATCAGCTCAGGCCCAGCAGTCCCAGGACCCTCAGTCCTCTTCTCCCGAAAGCAAGGGTACTATTCGCCCCCTCGAGACCAACAAGCTCGCCAACATGGACTGCCGTCTTGAGGGCACCTTGGGCCTCACCCCCAGCGATGTCTACCGTTTCTACCGCCACTTGCGCATGTAAAGGGGAGCTGAGATGAGTTGAGCAGTGAAGATTCAGGGTGGGAAGAAATTCTTGACGCTATGGGGTAACGTTGCGAGGGGTGGCATATGATATCAGCGCGGTGTAGCGGTTGAGGGTAGAGGGCGTTTTGGTGTTGGGACAGGAACAGCGCTTTCATCTGGAGAGACTTGCTTTACAGATCATTAGTGAAATGACATTCACGTTTTTGGACCAATGCTAGTCTGATGTCTTTGAAGTAATGTGTGGTCTTGTTGAAATCACTTATGTTGAGAAACCATTGACCATACAGCAAAACACAGCAAAAAATACAATACAATACAATACATCACATTGAAAAATACAACACGAAATCCCACAAAACACATTATTGAACACAACACAATACACCACAGGGTACAGTACAATACACTACACTACAAAATACAATACAATACACGACAAAATACAATACGATACACTACAAAATACAATACAATACAAATACGTGTATTGATTGCTCCTGACTCATCAACGCGGGTAAGTGTAAGTTTTCTCCGGGAGATGTGCAGATCCTCGCTGGGATGTGGTATGGAAACATCGTCGGAGAACAGTAATATGCCGATTCCTGAGTGTGGACCTATGTTCAACCGCATGGAGTTATTCAGAAAAACCCAACACCATGACATGGTTGAGATGAAGTTGACGATCCGACTTGGCGGCTGCAAGACTGGTTCGTGGAGAGCAGGGGAAATTGTTAGTGCAGCGACCAAGAACCACGAACAGGGATCTACGGCGCTGAGCGTCCCCAGCTGAGCTCTGACAGCTCTGCCTGCCCCGTGCTCCAGCTCTCAGCTCTGCACCGCACGTGGAGTCCCAGAGTCTAGAACGCCCCTAACGACAAGGCCAGATGGCCAACTCTTTTTTTCCGCCCGAACGTCATCAACCCGAGTGTCCTGCTCCTCATTCCATTTGCGCCAGACGACCTCCTCCCCAAACATGGTCCAACTCTGAGTCTTTCAACGTCCAATCCTGCAGACGAGCCCGCCACGCAACCCTACGACCCGTCTCGATTCAACTGATCCCGCCGCCAAGACGCTCCAGCTCCGCCAGCCATGGCTCCCTCCCCCTTTGACACCGCGAAGCTCACCCTCGACTACCTCCCCTACGCCTGCGAGTTCGACCCCCAAGATGCCAACAGGCTGCTCGTCGGAGGCGGCGGCGGCGCCAACAGGTCCGGCGTCGCCAACAAGATCGTGCGCACCCATCCCTGCCGTCCCGGCCCCCCAGACAGAATGCGACTGACACTTGCGAAAAGACAGTGATCGACACCTCGGCAAAGGACGAGCTGCGCATCGCCGGCGAGGCCGACCTCAGCCGCAACGAGGACAGCGTCATGACCCTCGCCGTCGGCCCCAAGAAGGGACGCACCTCCCACGTCTACGCCGGCATCAACTCGAGCCCCGCCGACGTCGAGAAGGGCAAGAACGAGCACTTCCGCGTCTTCGGCGTTGAGCAGAGCAAGGCGCGTCTCTCCGTCGGTGCTAACAGCCCGAGCGTGAACCTCGCCGAGCTCTCACGCACCGCCCTCTTCGCCCCCGCCGAGAACGACAAGGACGCCTACCAGCGCCTGCTGAGGCTGTCCGCGCCCTTTGGCGAGAAGCACCAGCTGGGCGCCGTGGCCACTGGCCTGGCGAAGCAGTCGCAGATCTCGCTGTTCGAGGTGTCGGCCGCTTCTGGGGCCGCCGTGAAGCCGAGGGGCACGCTGGAGATTTCGAGGGAGGCGATGGATCTGGATGTGATTCAGACCGGAGACGAGACGTTCCAGGTAGCCTTCTGCGATGAGCGCGACCTCTTCGTTGTGAACGTCACCAAGAACAGCGTTGATGGGCCGCACCTGGCATTCACCATCAAGGAGGACGGCGCCGGTGTCACGCCCATCTTCAGGTCGATTCGGTACTTGTCGCCAAACTTCATCATGGCAGGCTGCAACCTTCCGAAGCGCACTGGCGTGGTTCTCCTGGGCATCCGGCTGCCGATGAAGGAGGATGAGAAGGGCCGTCTGGCTGCGTCAGCCAAGCTGCCAAAGACAGTGACGCAGGCGACTACCATTGCCGTGCGGAACCTGAATCCGGCGTCAACGCCCGAGGCCAAGCTCGGCAACACGCAATTCGTCGTCGCCGTGGCAGGTCAAGACCGCTCCGTCTCGCTCTTCACAGTTGAGCACAAGTCTCTCTCGAACCTCGAGCTCCTCACCAACCTCGAACGCCTGACGACGTTGAAGGAGGTCCACCCTCTGAACATCACCAACGTCGCCCTGTCCCACTTCGTCCCGCCCAAGACGACCGCCCGTCCTCAGTACCTCAAGCTCGCCAGCATCTCCATGAAGAACACCGTCGTCGTGCACTCGATCCTGCTCAAGAAGTTCACCGACAGGGAAGTTCCCCTTCGCAAGGGCGGCCCGCCCAGGCCCCAGCGCTACGCCGTCGCTCTGCAACCCAAGAGATACGGCACCAAGGCTACCATCACGCTCGCCACCGTTATCGTCCTCGTCTTGGCCGTCCTCTTCCAGATCGGTCTCGAGTCGGCAGGTGTCGTGAGCCCGCGTTTCCTCGCCAAGACGAGCCCTCTGGCCAACCCCAACACCCCCAACGAGTTCCTCTCAACGCTCATTGGCGAGGTCCACGCGCTTCAGGGAGACCCGATCGTCATCCGCG